GGTTCCACAAGCAGGGAACGTTCCCTCCCATCTGCTTCTAGTGTCATGGGCATGGTGTGTGCCACAGGCCAAGTGGGCTCTCCACCTTACTTGCTTGGGGTGCCCTCATACTGGTGAGGCTAAGCTGTGCCTTGCCCTGTTCATAAGCAGGAAATAGCACAAGGGCCTCCTCTGACATTCCCAGAAGGATGCTGGTCTACTGTCCACAGGGGTGCTAGCCTCCCCAAGAGGCGTGGAGCAGGGGTGGAGCTCTGGCTTATGCCAGCTCCAGATCAGCAGTACAGCTTGCCCTGCCCAGGGCTGCAGAGTGAGGCAGCATCTTTTAAGGAACTTTCTAGTATACCCCTCTGGCTAGCACCTCAGATCCCTGGAGCCTGCTGTGCTTCCAAGAGCTCCATGTCTCCCTGCCTCTCCCAGCCAAGGGCTTAGAGCCACAATAAACTTATGGTGTGCTGCAGGCAGCAGGGCCCAGGCATTGCCCAGCACAGTGACTACAGAGTAGCTCTTCTGAATGGGAGCTCTACAGTTTTTGCTCACCCCTTATTTTCTTGGCCAGCTTTGCCTGCAGAAAATTTTCCCCCAGTCACATCCCTCCCATCTCTCCTGAGACTGCATCACTCGTAGCTCCTCCTCTTCCTTTGGCACGCTGACAGTACCCTTTGGTTCTACTTGCTTCCAACAAAGTCACTGGAGGGAGAACTAGGAGTACCTGTGGCATTTTATAGATGTGCTGGTGGAGGGTGTGCTTTAATTAGAGTGGCTCTAAGAGCCACTCTAATTAAAGTGCCTGGAGTGTCACGTGCATCAGTGTCCCACACTGAAAAATGGTGGCAGGGGGGCTTTAACGAAAGCTCATCAAACCAGCTTTAGTTAAAACATGCCTGCCACAGTTTTTCAGTGCAGGGACACTGATACATGTGACATGAGTCACTGGAGCATGGTATTTACCATGCTCCAGCAGACTCAATTAATCGAGTCTGCTCCAACACATTGTAATTGCAATGTGTCAGAGCAGCCTCTCTACACATGTATAGGTGCCATCTGTGACCAAGAGCATTTCAGAAACTCCAGGAGAAAGGTGGTAACCACTTGTGCTTGTACCAGGTCCCTCTGCAGAACTCAAGTGGAACTGTGGGTATGGAAAGTGTTCTGGCTGGCTGTGAGGGGGAGGCGATGCCTGGTCTCAATCTGCCTCAATCCACTCTCAGTAGAAACAGGATTTGCAAATGATTGGCAGTCTTAAGGAACAGGGCATTATGCACTATCCCTAACTGGCTTCATCAAAAGGAATAATTTAAGTGCTTCCTAATGATTTTAGGCAGAAAGTCTCCCAAGACACTCTCAGGATCTTCAGTTGCTGCAGACAGATATTATGGAGGAGGATAATGTCCTGCTAATGAAGAGCAGGAATCTGCTGGAGTTGGCTGAGAAAGGCTTTGCAGTGGAGGAGGTAGGGTTCACTTCAGTTTTTGCCCCTGAATGCCAATACCAATGTTAATTCAGTGGGATGGTGATGATAGGAGTCATAAAGCTCAATTTTAGTACAAAGAAATACTAGGCCTCAACCCCAAACTATGTTATGTCTTTAAGTATGATAAAGATACGGTTATCTGCCCAGATTAAGCCCATTAAAATAATGGTAATGAGCTTTTCCCCTGTGTTTTGGGCTTTTGTAGTTTGTCTGCGTCAGATTCATTCTGGGTGTAACTCCTGTGAAATTAACCCCTGGATGACCTACCATCCTTGCACCTGGCTTTTTTTAGTTCAACTTATTATCAGAAATGACTGTGGGGAAACCACCATAAAACACCAAGATAGAGCTACCAAACGGGGATCCATGGTATTGGCCACAAGGCAACTGCAATAGCTTGGTTGGGATTTCCACATATTGTATTGAGAAGAGAAGGCCCAGCCCCAGAGAACTCATACATGACCAGGTTGCAGCCTCTCTTTTAATGGCATAAGCCTGGGGTCTGTTTGGATGTCAGGAGTTAATTTAAAATGCAATAGTGGCCTTCGCCATCTCAGACACCTTAGCCTGCTAAATTGGGGGTGGTCTTGGACTCTCCCTCTGCTAGTAGTTACCTTTGCACATTTTTGCCCAGCACTGTGCATTGAAAAGCAACCTCTCTCCTTCTGTCTGCAGTGCAAGATGGCTCTGCGAAGGAAAAACAAGCACTTCAGAAGCATCCGGCCAACGCCTGCCATGAGAAGTAAGGCTGCTGTGTGTGCGTCTGCTCGCATGCTGTTTCTCAATGTGACTCAATGGCCATGTCTATACGAGTGGCAGACTGTGCAGTAACTGGCGTTACTGCACAGTAGCTTCCCCCCACAGTTTTTTTCAGATGCTTCTCCACAGTAACAACAAGCTACTGCGCAGTAGCTTGTTACTACTGTGCAGTAGCGTTGCATCATGGTTAGTACCTGCCAACGCTACAGTGCAGTAGCATCTCATGTAGACGTGCCCAACACTACTCTGAAATCTAAATTGTGGTTGAGCAAGCTGGTTTAGACCTTGTTATGGGGTCACCACAAGAAGTGTCCAGGTTTCTTTCCTAGATGCTTGTTAGAGAAGGTGTCAGTCTGTTTAAATCTGGAGAGGGTAGGCATACCTAGCTAGGAAAGACTTACCTCCATGGCTGAGAAAGAGTCAGAGAATCCAGAATTTAATTGAGTTTGGGGTGCAAAATATAAACAAACAGGGTCAGACTGAGGGGAACAGAAGGTGCTGCTGAGTAGTTTTGAACAGAGCCTCTTTCCAGTGATGGAGTCCCAGGAGTCATACACAGAGAAGCAACTGGAAATGTGCCCAACCCTTGGCTGGCCTCAGACTAAAGTCCTGGTGGTGACGACAGTGACAGCGATAGCTTCCTCCCACTCAGCAGTGCTCTGCTGCCACTAGGGTGGAAAGGCTGTCAGCTTCTGTGTGTGTTCAGTCCTTTCTCTGTTCAATGAATCTAATGATTAGGGGATGAATCAAAGGTGTTCATGCTGCTTAACCAGGAGAGAGCTGAGCTCCTGATTCTGATCCCAGTTGTTCTCGAGGAGAGCAGAGCCGCCTTAAGTAGGGGCACTATTAATGCCACTGCTACTGCCATCTTGGTGATATGGCTTGCAGAGTGCACCAGCAATCTGTTAAAACCAGGTGTTCCTTCTGAGATGCATCTCAACATGTCATATCTTGACATGGCATGATGACAGAATCGGTCAGAAGCTTCCGGTTCAGAAAGAACCCTGGTCAGCTCTGAGGAAGGGCACAGACAAAGGGCTCTCATTTTAAATGAGCTTTTCCATCAACTTGCATGGTTCTCTTGGTTTCCAGAGAGTAAAATTCTTCTACTCCTGTGGCACAGAGGGAATCTGGTATCTCTGTTGCCTAAGAATGAACCCAGAGGAGCTAGAGATCAAAGTCATGCTTTTGTGACTAACCAACAGATAGTTTGTGAGCAGGTCTGTTCATCCTAGGTCTCTCCCTTTCCTAGCATCTTATTTTAATCTTGTTTAATGCTATAACTTTTGGATCAGCAGCTGGTTTGAGGCCAGTCAGCCAATGGCTGTCATTTGGGAGCCAAAGTGTTTGTTTTTGTTTTTGTTTTTTTTTTCTTTTTTCTCTAGATATTCCACCTTCCCAAAGCCATGAGGCAGGATTTCAAGTTCCACCTGTGTCCATGGGGAGATGGGAGTAGGAAGGATAAACCCTTTGTTTAACGTAAATAATCTGGAGCTGGTGTCAGGAGCCAGTGTAATTAATTGTAACTAATCTGGCAATTTGTGTTGAGATGAAATGCATCTTTTCCCAGGATGCTGAGTGCCAGCAAAAGCAGATACAGCAACATGTAACCATATTCATGTACATTCAAGCAAGAACATGTGGTTTATGGACCTCTCTAGCAATCCTATGTAAAGCCTTTACAATTTGTGTCTTGCCTCATACATAAGATGAGATGCTGAAGTCATGCAGCTTTATGACCACCCAGTGAAACCACAGATATATTGTGGCCTTGCAGAAACCATTGTTAATGCTTTCTTCCAGAATTGTGACTATTTCCCACCATGGGCTGGAGGTGCTGATGCCATTTAATTTGATGTAATTCATTGACAGTTGCAAAGAGATTTTACTCCCCATCTAGGCAATCTGAGAGGAAGGCCAGCCCAACATTTGCTATACATCATGTGGATGAGTATTACAGTACCACTATAAGGCATGAAAAGAGGCTCAGTAAGGATGAATAGAAAGACTTTATGGTGTCCAGGATGGATAGGTTATGATCTCCCAGTAGCCCAGTTGGAAAATATACTTGTATGAGCATTAAGACAGTGTAATGTCATGCTGTCACTGCAGAGACATCTGGCTTTGCCTAATCTTCAAGGAGGTCCAGGCACAGGTCACCAAAGTATGGCTCACAGACACCTGCACCTTCTTTATTCAAACTTTACTGTACAGGTAAAGCCCATCAAAATCTATCCTTCTCATCTTGATCTTAATGGGCAGCTACAGGTAGACAAACCAAGCTGGCATAAAAAATTCACCTGAGTCTTTCCTTTTCCCTTCTGGGAAAGCTGTTGAAACCCTTGAGAGGGTTTCCTCCCACAGTCAGTCTGTTCCTGTAGGGTGGGTGTCATCCACATCAGGTAATTGTGAGCAGCACCCACTTACCATTGTATTGGCCTGGGACCATGGGTCTTTGATGATGAGGTAGTGAGAGCTCACCAGCAAACCTGATGGCTTAGCTAAAGCCATTTCAGCACCTGATGTGGCTGTTGGTCAGTTTTGAGCAGGAACTTGATGGTCTGTTTTCAGGGGTCCCTTGATTCAAGGAAATGGTCAGTGACACTGACCCAAATTCTGACCTGGTATATCTGGGAGCAATTGCCACGAAAGTTACTGAACCACAATCAAGAGTAGTATAAATGGCTCGGGATGAATTGCTCATAGAAGTTGAATTACGCTGTATTCTGTTAAACTGTTCTCCAAGTCCACACATGGGAGCAGTCCATTTGGAAGATGAGTCCCAAAAATGCAAAGAAGGAAGCAGCAATTTAGAAAGAACTGCTTGCTGAAGGAAGGAAGAACTAAAGAAGGAAGCAGCAGTTGCCTGCCCTGCCCCAGTCAATTGCTTTATACTACTGTGAACATGTTCTTCTTCCAGGGCACACAGCAAGATGTTATAGCTTTGTCTTCCCTCGTTTTGGTGTCAATCTCGCCTGCCACAACTTTGATGGGAGTAATTAAAGGGGAACATCACATGAGAGGAGTGCTCACTTAGTTTTAATAATGAGCATCAGCAATACCTGCTCACAAGAAGTGTAGCTCACCTAGCTGCCAGGTGTAGGTCCCTCAGCTGGCTCTCCCTACAAGTTCCCAATTCACTTATCAGTCCCACAATAAACACTCACCGAGTGGGCGTTTGCAAGCCCGCCCCATTTACCAATTCACAGCAACAAAGTCCTTGTCATGGATGCAGACGGAGCTGCAATCTTCCGGCTGAATCAGCAATTCATCTTCCAATGGACCGGATGCCTGACACTCGCCACTTCAACAAGAAATTCTTAGCGAATCTCTCTTCTCATTCACTGCGCCTCCGCACAGGCTGCTTGCCATCTCTGGCGTCTAAAGCCTCGGCTCCTCTTCCCCTTCTGTGGAAGCTGCTGATCACCTGGACAGTCCTTTATACAATGTTTCCACCCAGCTGTTGTCACTCTCCAGTTGTCTGCCACCAGCCAGGAAGACTTAATTGGCAATTAAGCCTTTTGTTATGTCAATCTGATTGAGCACCTCATCATTGTCAGCAAGTAATGGATGATTCACCAAAGTCCATAACGGGTATTTAGCATCCTGGATAGGTGAACAGTCAATAGGTCACCCAGTTCCATGGGTCGGACAGAAAGTTCTCAACAAAATGGGTGCTTTTACCGAACGTTCCTGTACCTGTTACAACCACAAACACTGTTGTGTACGCATGGAAGCTAGCCTCCTGGTAACAATCCATATAAATATGACGGGGGGGGCAATGCCCTTGGAAGCCAGCTATATAGTGACAGTCTATATAAAACCCAGAGTGAGGAAGAATAAGGAAAATACCTGGCCTTTTGGTGACCTCTTACTGCTTGGAGCTGTATGTCATATTGTCCATCAGGACCCTGAGCTTTCAGCAGATCCCTGGTTAGACAAGGGCATGGTTTAGGGTCTTCTATGGGAGATAAAAGCAGGCATATTGCACATTTGAATGATAACATTATAGGAACCAAGGCTGGAGGGAGTATTGATCATCATGGCCTCAAATGGGCCATGGTGTATAGTTAGGAAGTCTCTCCACAGCCATAATTAGTAGAACTAGCCTTTCTATGTGAAACAGCATGGTGGGCAGGTGGTGGCTTTCTGTTCTGTGAGGACATGATGAGGTGGTTTAATCCTAGTTTTCCTTTTCTTTCCCATTGTGGGCTGGCAAAGGCCAAAAGCAAGCATGGAGGCAGGGTGCCCAGCCCCTGGGAGTGCATTGTACCATATCAGGTTCCTTCCACGCTGAAGAAATGTTACTTGCAACCCAGCAATTTGATGCTGGGGCTAGGTCTTAGGACATCAAAGGAGGAAGTGGGCACAGCTCAGATCTGAGATCCCTGGGACTCCCTCAGAAACAAGCCTGCCAGTCCAGTGCCAGAGCTCATTATGTCACTGCTCCTAGCCATGAAGGACTTTTTCCTCAGAGTGGATCCATGAGGGTATCTGAAGCTGCAGAAAGGACTAGGGGGGGGACAGCCAGTCCCTCATAGGGTGTTCTTAGTGCTGCCTCAGATGTCCAGGTTTCGTTCATGGCAAGTTATCCAGCAGCACTCCCCAGGGCCTCTGCATAACAAACTTCCTCCATGGTGTATTTACACAGGCTTCCCAAATCACACCACAAACATGTATGTTTGGCGGTTGCACCCAGCATGTGGCATTTGAGAGAAGAGCTGCACTGCTCCTTGGTACAGTGGTTGTGTCAAGCACCACATGCTCCTCTGTCAAGTGTGGCTGGTACACCTTGGGATAAGTTCAGTGGCACCTGCAAGGATGTTGGTTTGAGGGAGGGGACAGTCCCAGTTGCTACTTCCTCCTCCCTGAGCTTTGCTCGTTCCCTTTCCTTACCAAGGCTTCTCCCTTGCTTGCTCTTGCAGCCTTATGGCTGACAGCAAGCAAAACTCAAGGGCATCTGAACCCCAAGCCTCTGGGCTTGGGCCTGCAAGTAGGATGCCTGCCAAAGGTTTTGGAAACATCTGAAGCCCCAGATGGGGGTGGGGGATGTTTGCTGGTAGTATGGCCACTTATGGTTCTGGACTGATTCTTGGATTTGGAATTTGTTTTGGCTGATTTGGCTTGGAATATGGAAAACACACACACACACACACACACACACACACACACTGCTGGTGAGGAGAGACTAATGTGAATCCAGTTGAGCCCAGTGATCTAACTCCCTGGCTGGAAATGGGTGTCCCTTTGTCTACATTCACTCATGGATGACTGGCCTAGCCTGAGATTTCTGATCTACTGCTTAGCATGACATTAGGGAGTTTTGCAGCAACATGTCAGTGTTTGTATAACAAAAAAAAAAGCTGTGAGGGGAAGGTCTGAGGGGTGCCTAATCCTTGAAGCAGTTAATGCAGTTGTTCTCAGCCTTTGTGGATTCAAGGCACCCCTCACTGGACTCAAGGCACCTCTCACTTGAGCTGAAATACCTTCCACAACTGGCACCCAATTGCAGAAACTAATTTATATATTACAGGGCTCACTTCCTTGCAGAGAGGATGCACAGTGGTGATGGGGATTGTCTCAGCCTGCACTTACCCCCTTACACCTTGGGGCACCCTTGAAAGAATTTGGCGGTACCTAAGGGTGTCAAGGCACTCTGACTGAAAATCATTGAGCTATGGTCTGCTGAAACTAAATGCTAGCTGCTTCTTAGTCAGGCCTGTTTGTGCCATTGCAAATTGGCTCCCTGCTGTGTCAGAGAAGAGCAACACTCTCTCTGGTACATATTTCTAATGCTGCTGAACAAAGGTTTTGCTCACTCACCGAGATCCATAAGGATGCATCTCAGTGATCGTGCAAGGTCTCTTTAGAGCCCCATCCTGTTTGCCTGGATGCAGGGGTGGCCCTCCCTCATCTGATGACAGGACGGGGACCCAATATTCAGGGTCATATTCACTCATGAGTCTAATCCTGTTTCCATGGTTATTAAACCTGCCTGGTATTATTGGTGGAAGGTCTGGTCGGAACTTCCTCCCGACCAGTAGGCAAATGCGCTCCAAACAGTGACTGCTGGCTGAGGGAGGCTTGACCCAGGCAGCCAAAGGGAGGTGCTGTTTTGCTACCGACATTCCCTAATAGTTGTCTCCCACTGTATGGCCCTGGAACCCCCTAAGGGTGGGAGGCTGTGGCAGCTCCACCAGGCCTTCTGGGGGATGAACTGCCATGGCCCAGAGATAGCTATGCTGGTGCAGGGAGGTGTAACTCCCCATGCCCCATGGCTGCTGGAATGGGACTCCTTTGTGCCAGGCCACATCTCTTTTCAGGTTAACTTGGCAAGAAGATAAAACCATTATTATGATTGATTTTTTACATCATGCTGGCATTTAAGAGTTTCAGTTCTTGACCCAGGATCTCATAGACCAGTGGGGCTCAATGTTTTGGCTTGGTAGCCCAGAGGAGTGGCACAGGCCAGCCGGTGGGCCAGATCAGACCTGGTATGCAAGGATTGGGTCCTTGCAGCTTTAGGCCCCACATCATCCCCATGCACTGGGTTCAGGCCTTGGGGCCATGTGCTGCCTCAGCCTAGCCCTATGGGCTGGGATTGGGCTTTGGGGCCCTGTACTACCTTTGTCTGGCCTTGCACACTGGATCCTTGGGCCCAATGCCTTCTCTGCAAGCTGGGATTGGGCCCTGTACTCCTGCATGCCAGGATCAGGCCCTGGGGTCTTCTGCCACCTCAGCCTGGCCACAGCAGGGGCCAAATTTGGCCTGCTGGCCACAGGTTGAGCACCCCTGCCATAGACAAAACACAGACTGTGTCTGTCCCAAGGAGCTTCCAAATCCAACATGCTGACCTAGGAACGCAAGCTTATTGAAATCAAATGCACTACATTTCCCATCAGCCTGTGTTTTGGTGTTTCAGTTTCACTGGTAAGAACAAGCAGGTCCTGCCCAAGCACTTCGAATTGGTTCTTGCTCAGTTTGTCCACTAAGCAATCGCATCTTCCCTGACAGCTCTGCAGCTGCCTTTCCTCAGGGTGGGAAGGACCCTGATCAATGCCATCTTGGTCTCGCCCACAAGCTCGCAGTTGTCAGCACTCTCTGCACATGGAGCTCCTAGGGATTTTGACCGGAGTTCTGTGCATGGATGCTTTGGCAGGATCAGGCCCAGAATTAGCTTTAATTCAGTTCCAAGAGGTGGATCCATAAGCTACACCCACCATCCATTGCACTTACACAAGCTGTGTGGCAAGGGATTTTTTTTTCCTCTGGTGCAGAGAGCACCAAGCATGTTTGCAGTAATCTCTAAGTCTTTCTCTTAGTTGCCTTGTGTAATAATCTTTCTGTAGCAGAAAAACCTGCTCAGGGTAGATAGAAAATCCTGGGGTAGCTTTTCAAAGGTTTTTGGTTTTTTCCCCTACCTCCCCAGGTCTCTCGGAGCTCAATCTTCAGGCAGAGGCAGAAGATAACGAGATTGGAACTCACCAGGCTCTGCTGTCAGTCAGCTGTGCCTCTGTGAAGTCACGCCCTGCCTCCACAAAGGATGCTGAGGCTGGAAGCAGTTTGCTTCCTTGCACAGAGCTTGCATCCACACAATCCCTTATGGACCTGCCAACTGAGGGAGAGAAACTGGAGCATTATACCCGAACTAGGCCCAGGCCCAACCGCAGAAACAAGCAGCCTCCAAGCAAGCCAAATGTAAGACCAATTTCATTTTTCAATCAGGCAGGGCTTATTTTTGTCATGGGTAAATATCTTCATCAGCATTTATTCCAGCCCTGGAAGATAAAACATACTGAGCAGCAGCTGGTTTATTATGCAGTCATCAGCTGTGCTTAAGCTGCTGCTGGATTCCACCTCAAAGGGGGCTGTTTATATGTGAGGGTGTTACTGTGTTTTTGTGTTACCAGGGGAATGGTGAAATCTTTCCTTTATATAATTTTTTTGAGCTGCTGCAGAAATGTAGTAGGTGTGATCTACCCAGGAAAGCTGCAGTTTGTGTGCAGAGGTTTTGTGTATTTGCAGCATTTCTTTCTCTCTGCCTGCCTATTCATTGACCTCTCTTACAGGATTAGACACTGTTTCAATTGCCCCTAACTCTTTGGTTGGGGGGGTGGGGGGCTGCGAGTGAAATCCATCTACTCAATCCTTCAGCAAAACTGTGCGACTTATTTTTAACTATTAGTGGCTTGTTTGCTCTGAGGGTCCACTGGCCTAATGAAAAGGCCTTTACCTTTTTTGAACAGATTTTCAATTAACCTTGAATCTTTACCACAAAACACTGGCATATATAGCTCTGTGATGCTTATGACCGATCTGATTAGTTTCAAAAGTGACAGGGAATGCCCCTTTTCTGGCAAACAATTCACTTATAACTTCACCTTATGCCACAACTGGGTGGAGTAACTTTTGGGTGCATCTGCATTGTACCTGGTGTCACAAGAGCTAGAGGAACTCCAGTGCACACAACATGGATGGGAGAGGTGGGCTGTGTGCTGCCCTTACTAGTTTAGAGGAGATTAGTGCATCTCCCGGCAGGATGGTTTGACGAGCTGAGAGATGAGTTTGGTTTTCTGGTGTAGGAGGTTCTGCTGTTTGTCTTCTCTTGGTTTCATTTTCAAACCAGGGGCTTCTCTTTCCATGATAAAGGAGCACTGGTCTTGGTCAGCACAAGGTGAAGGGTGTTCTGCAGGTGCTCTCCACAGCCTCCTGTCAGGAGGGCGAGGAGTAAGGGCTGTTTGGTCTGGGGTGCCCTGGGATTGTGCAGTAGGATGCAAACCCTGAGAGCAGCTGTTCTAAATGGGCTTTTTTAGTGAGACTGATGGAGGCAAAAGATACCCTGCAGTCAGCAACAGGCCACAAAGGGCATCGTGCTGCTCTTCCCAGTTTCTGTGCCTGGTTCTGGGCCAGAATGGTGGCTACTGCTGTTCTAAGCCTGTTGGCGGGGGTGGGAGGGCTAGGAAGGGAAGGGATACCCAGCCATTGGCTTCTTGTGTGTGGAGATCCCTGCCCTGCACTGCCATGTGTGGAGCTGATGGGTCACTTTTCACAGCCACTTCTATGTCTAGCCACTAATAATAGATGAGTTTCACCCTGGGACCCACATGGAGTGTACGCCTGGCACCTACATTAAGAGCTTAGGTGGACTTCTACCTAGTCTGGGCAACAAGGGAGTCCCTGTTATGTCTAGAGACATATGCTGGGGTTTGGACTCGGGTGCAGCAGCATGTGCTAGAGTTCGGCAATCTCCTTTAGTAGATATTGCCTTGGGAGCCCCAGCAGTCTCAGACACCAAAAGGGGGTTGGGTCTTGCCTTTCACAGGTAATGGGCCTCAGAGTTGTGTGTGATGGTGAGAAGTGAGGAGATTCCTTTTGAAAATAATTGTAGAGGGCTAGATCTGATACCTTGGGGGCCTCTTCCACACCTCCACATTAGTCTGTTTTCAGGCAAGAGGGTTGATTTACACATGGATCATGCCACCACTAATTTGGCTTCGTTATAAAGGGCTAGTGGTCAGGGTTAGTGGTCATCTCTCAGGGTTAGTGGTCATCTCTCATAGACTGAAGCATTATTACAGCAGTGTGTCTGTAAAGCAGTCAAGCCAGGCCTCTTCCCTTCTGTGTGCACTACTGTACTTCAGATTATTAAAGAGCAGGCACAGAGCAGAGAGAAATGATTAGTAATCCAGTTTATTTTTAAGCCTGGCATAAACTGGGGGCTGGGTATTAACATAAGGCATGGGGGGAGGTGATATCAGTCAGGAGTTTAAGCTCTCCCCACAGTAGAAAGGAGTATAACATTGAGTAGACAGATAAACAGTTCTTGTTCCTTATCTAGCCTGAGACGATAAAAGGCTTGACAGCCTCTTCCCAGAGATGTAGCTCACTCCTCTGCTGCCCCAGCAGCATGGGAAGAAACGACTCGCACCATCCAAGAGACAAGGCTATTTGGGGCTTTCTCCCTTCACTAGTGAGGCAGGGAAGGCTCCCATGCCTCACTTTGCCTGTGTCTTCCATGCTGGAAGGAATTGTACTGTATTTACATCTAGCATGTGTGTTGAGATTTTCTAGCGTGTACCACAGGGCACTGCTGTGCTCACACCCAGCACTACTTTAAGGGTGTCACGGTCTCACAGCTGAACTTTGTGAGAAGAAGTTTGGTGAAGTAGGGCACTTAAGCTATGGGACTTTACAGGGGAATGAGGTAATTAGCTGGCTGTATCTTCTGTATGGCCAACCTCTAGGTCTGCCCAGTTGTGGAGAGTGCAAAGCCTGATCAATTTGATACAGCTCTTCTGCAGTGTCGAGAATAAAAATCGCCTCACGTGTTGGCTAGCATAGAAGTGAGAGCGGGAGATAGATGCTGCTCCTGCCAACCGGTAAGAAATCAAGGGATAGGCCCACTGTGGACCGTGGGGTCTGTCATTCAGCTCCTGGCAGAGATAGAGTCCTCCCACACTAGAATACTGGTGGAGCATCAGATGAGGGCAGTGCTTGATGAATATGATGTGACAGTGCAAGCAGATCCTGTACCACTGGAACTGATCCCAAGAGGCACAGAGTGATGGAATGAAAAGTGTTATGGATTTAAATGTCACCAAAAAAGAACTGTCTTCACTCTGGCAGGCTGGCAGTCATTGAACATGTGCCACCCACAGGGACTGAGCAGGGTTGGATTAGCTTGGTCAGAACACTTACTAGTTAGGTGGCATGTTTCTTTTTTGCTCCATAAAGGCAGTGGGTGAAGTTGTGTCCCTGGCTATGTGGGCAGACCTCTCACTGAGTTTTCAGAGCTTGTCCTGGGATGGCCCAGGGACTTGAAATAGCTTTGGACCAAGTACTGAAAACTGGTCCTTTCCCAAGTGGCAGCTTGGAATTTAATGAAAACTCTGCCCAAGTCTAAAGGAATGTTGGACTTCCTTTCATTTTACTACCATCTACTTCCTCTGATGTTGCTGTCCATCAAACTTTCCACCCAGAACAGTGGATCTGGCCATAGCTTGTTCAACTGTGTCTTCTCAGCATGCCTGAAATCTTCTGTACAAGGTGGCAGAAAAGTAGCATGTGAAAGGCACAACAGCACATTGGATAGTCATAGTGAGGGTGCCTTGGGGTGCTGTTGTTGACTGTAACAGTAACAGCATCGTAGCTGGCCACTGATAGCTGAACCAATCCCAACAAACTGTACAAACCACTGCCAATGAATTCAGACATAGTGATCAAAATGAGACCCCTTGAGCTATATTCAGATATCCAGAGAAATGGGCCAATAGTCAGAGGTGCTGAGCCTCTGCAGCCACCAGCTCTCCTGGAGTTCCATTAGAGTTTGGGGCAGATGATCAGCACATCTGAAAGCTAGGCCCTTACTGTAGGTGCCTCAGGCCCCCATTCAGTAATTGCTATCTTGACTCGGGGCCTTAGTTAGCCTGGTAGAGATTCACAAAGCCCCACTGAACTATAGCTATTTGTGCAAGGCACCAGGGTGGCCAACCTGTGAAGCAAAACTTCTGCCAGACATTCTTCAGCTGTGAAAATCAAGGGCTTATTTCTGGTCATTTCCCAAAGGTCTCCCTAAAACCATGGGAGCCCTCCTCCCTAATCAGAATAATCAAAGACCAGGGAAGTATTAAACCTGCACTGAATGGGCTCTTTATGTATTGGGGTTGGCAAAAGCTTTAAGCACCTTGTAATCTTCCAAGAGCTGCATCCTTCCTCTTACATGCAGGCCTTTTGAGATGCAGCTTCCCCACAGTATGCTGCAGTCCTGATTTCCAGTGGTTTCTGCAGAACAAAACTCCTCAGATGCTGTGGGTGTCCAGCTCCAGGATTGTGGCTGAGTTCATTCTTGGTGATATGCAGGTCACTCAAAACACTTGATTATCCCATGGATTCTATGAAATAAGAAATATTTCCCTTGTGTTTGAGAGGCCCTGGAGTGACCAGGACTGTAATACTTCAGACCTTGGGTCTTCATGCAAAAAGGTATAAGGCAAAGTCTATATGGCCTATGGAGCCATCTCAGCACTGCTGCTGAAAGATAAGCCCAAACCACTTGCACCCACCCCCATGCTGGGATTCAGAGGACTCCAGTTCTAAGTGATTTCCTAGGTTTCATAGACATTAGGACTGGAAGGGACCTCAGAAGAACATTGGGTCCCCAGGAGCAGGAAGTCAACTAGGGTCAAAGGATCCCAGCAAGATAAGCATCCAAGCATTTCTTAAAAGAGTCCAGAGCAGGTGCTTGCACCACCTCTGGGGAGAGTCTATTCCAGGCCTTGGTGGCTTGGACAGTAAAGGAGTTTTTCTTTATGTCCAGCCTAAAACAGTCTTGGAGGAGTTTGTGACCGTTGGACCTTTCAAAGTGGTTTTTGAAAGAAATGCAACTTGCTGAGATTCATCTATTTAGCTCCGAAGCCAAGGGGCTTATCTGCTACACAAAATGCTCCAGATCAGAGGTTGTCAACCAAGGGTATGCATACCCCCAGGGGTACTTGAGAAAGCCCTAGGGGGTACACACAGGTGGGCGGGGACAGAGCGCCACCATGCACCATCCCACACTGCCACACAGGCATCGCCCACCTGGCCGGATGTGGGGGGCAGGGGAAGCTTGCATCGGCCTAAGAACATTGGGTCCCCAGGAGCAGGAAGTCAACTAGGGTCAAAGGATCCCAGCAAGATAAGCATCCAAGCATTTCTTA